ATCTCTCGCACCCTGGGCCCTAACTTTAGTTTACCGAACAGCCCTCCATATAGCTCCCCATGCATACATGGGGAACAGCCCCTCAACTGGGGCCGTCTCCTCTACCCTCAATATTCGATATAAATCCCTCACCTTTAATTTGTCTGGCTCGCGCGCCCACAAAAGTGCCCTCAACAAAATCTCACACTCCCCCCTTTCCCCCACCCACATACATTCCCCTCAAAATATCATGTAACCTTTGCATGCATTTCCCCTCTGTCCCCCTAATTTTTTTCCACTCCCACCTGACAAAAATGCATTACCCCCTCCTTCCCAGGTCCAACAGACCTAACCTCCCTTCCTCCCCGGCAAAGTCACCACCCCCTCTTCATCCATTCACATCCTGAGCCCCATAAAACCTAAAACACTTCTAAGGATACGATTTAATGTCAGCTCCCAGCATGGAAAAACTGCTGCACATACCATACCTTACTGTACAGAAATACGTTAATAACAATCGCCCGTTGCAACAATGTCAAGTGATAAGACCGCAACATCCCCAACCGATGTTCACGCGTTCCACCATTCTCAACGAATTCGCCTCCCTAGCCTCCCGTATGGTCCGCTCTATACGAATTCCCCAATATTAATAACTGACCTTCCTGCCTTCTCACCACATCACAGTCCCAATCAACTCTGTCTCTCCACCCCCCTAGCCCCATGATCTTTGTTTTCTCAACGTTTACCGTCATGCCTGTCGCCCCTTCCAAACATGCCAACCACCCTCCCAACTCTCCCAATCTTGTTCCCTTCCGGACTAGGAGTGTCGTGTCATCCACGTAACCTACCACATGATGCCTAATCAAGCCTCCTCGACCCTCCCCCCCCCACACACTCTGGTCTCACCAACCTATAAAATGGATCTTGCACACATGCGAATAATAACTGTGATAGGGGGGCATCCCTCCCTCAACCCCCTTTCCATGTTCACCACACCTCCCACACGTCCATTGATCTGAATTCTCGCTTTTTGCCCCTTTATACAACGTTTCAAACCCCCCCCACAATCTCATCCCCAAAAACCTTGTTTGTTAAGGACTGTTTTAAACCCTCCCTTTCCACCTGATCATAAGCACCCTGCCAATCAATCGCCACCATACCCCCTCCTTCCTGCGTCCCCTCAAAACTCTCAACAAACCCCTTTAGAATTCCGTCCCCCATGACCATCAAACCGTCCTGGCAACCCTAGTTGACCTTTTGAAACTACAGTCCCACCACACATTTTAACAATTCCCCAAAATCTTCGCGAACATTTATAGTCCGCACACATGAGAGTAATCCCCCTGTAATCCTTAAGTGTACTCTGCCCCTTACCCTTGGGCACAAGCACTACGACCCTGTACTTTGCTTCTCGCCCAATTCTCCCCCATCTTTCATTCTGTTGAACAGCGTTACTAAAAAACCCCTTACAGATCCCAATGTTTTAAGTAAAATTCATTTGGGTAGTCCATAAATACCTGGTGCTTTGCCTCTGAACATGTCTACAAGCGCTCTCCATATCTCCCCCTCTTCAATCTCCCCACCCAAAGCTTCCCTGTCCTTACTCCCCAGAGCTTGGGGCCCTCTACAGCACACACCCCATCAAGTTTCCTCTCTATTAACCCCTTTTACTTTTCCAAATAATGCCCATACCACGCACCCGCGATTAACTCATCACCTCCGTTGTTTTTAACACCTGCCCCCCCCTAAACCCTTTCACCTCAGTGTGCACTTCCAAATCTGCTATTGTGGTCGCTGTTCCTCTGCTGTTGTCTCCTCAACACACATGCCGATGGCTTATCCCCCCAAAGCACTCCTCCACACCCGCCGCACCCGCCCCGCATGAAATCTCTCCTCCTGCACCTCTCTTATCCCTGCTCTTCAGATCATCTATTGCCCTGTTTGGAATACCCCTCCCACTACTCCTTGTTCATGATAGTATCCTATTCTACTTTCCAAATAATTTGTTAATCCATACTTCAGTCGATTTAAACCCCTTCCCCTCACCCACGTAAAACCTACGAATCCTCTCCCTTTGGGCCCCACTGTCCACCAAGTACAACATTATCAAAACCCTTTTTGCCTCCTCACTTAGCTTCCTCCACAGCGAAGCAAACCCCCCCTCCACTTCCTCATCCTCAAGGAGTCGCGTGTTTAATTTCCTAGCTTTCAAACCGTTTCACTAACGGGCCCCTGCTACCCCCACCACCAAATGCCCTGTGATCTGAATAAATTGCTTCTATAGTGTTAAAAGACTCCACTGAAACCCCTTGCGTTATATAGATCCTATCCAGTCTAGCTGCGTATTCCCTCCTTAAAGTACGTATGTTGCACTTCACCTATTCCACCCAAAATGCATCTCGTACCCCAAATCTCTACAAAGGTCTCGCAACACGTTTGAAAAATATCCTGCCCCCCCTGGCATCGCATCAAATCTCCGTATTATACAATTCCAATCTCCCCAATCAATGCAAACCGGGCAGTGCTCTCAAGAAATACACCAGATCATCCCTTACAAAAGCCGATTTTAAAACCCCCGCATCATTCCCGCCGGAGCATACACTCCAACAAAGGACACGCGTTCACGCATCCACCACCCGTCACTCTCATTATTCTTTCCCTCACCCCCCCCCCCAACCTTTGCAAAACAAACGGGCTTGCTCTCGAATTAAAACACCCACTCCACCTTTTTAAACGTGTCGTTGGGGTTACAAAAGCCCTATATCCATCCACCTCCAGCAATTTTCCTATTTTCAAGTTATGCTCTTGTTAAAAGACAACATCTACCTTATAACGATACAGCAGTCCTCGCAACCATACACACTTACCACTCTTACATAAACCATTAACATTAATTGTCCCTACACCTTAGGCCTGCTTACGTTTTCCACCCACTTTTCCCCACCCAATTTTCCGCTGTCCAGTAACCTCATACACACCGTCCTTGGCACTCACCCATCCCCTCCACTCCTAACCCCTTTCTGGCGTTTCTTTTTCTCTGTGCCTCTACAAAACACCTTCAATCCCCCCCTTTTTCCCTGGTCTTTGTGCTGGAGTGAGGACGTCATCCGAGTCAGACGTGACAGCTGCCCGCTTTCCCCGACACTTCCTCTTCCGCCATGCTAGTCTCCTGACCTTCCCTCATTGTGCACCTCCACCTCTATCACTTCATTCCCCTTCTCACTACTTGGCCAAGCCGACATTACATTCCTTTCTTCAGACCCGCATGCTTCCCCTTGTTCCTGTACCTGGTCCCCCGTCGTTACCTCTGTCAAGGCTTCCTCCGATTTTGGGAACATCTGCAAAACTGTCTCAAGCACTACGTCAATTTCAACGTCCCTTTGGTACGTCCTTGTCCGCCTCGGGGGATCACATCCTCATCAGACGCACTCAATTGCTGCACTGCACCCTCATGCTCCACCTCACGTTGCAAATTTCCCCCACTTCCTCACTCCACAACCGACCACGCCTACGTCCATCCTGGGGGTTCTGATCTGTCACTGTAGGGCCCCGCCCCGTAATGTCACTTCTTGGTATTCCCTGGCCAGTCCTCCGCCGCCACATTCTGCCGCTATGTGATCATAACCATCAACAGTCTACAAGTTCTACGTTGGCCAGCGTAAGTTACAAGTATTGTGTCCTAAATTCATCTAAAAAACACATCGAAGGTTTAGGTTGCCTCAGAGTCATCTTTAGGTTAAAAACTACCTTCCGGATAACCACATAACCCCTGCCGTCCACTTGCCTGGTTGAGCTAAGTGTACAGTTCCAAACTTCCCGAACACATACGTAGGGCAGCTTCATTTGCCTCGAAAGGCACATTACGTAACTTTTTACATACGTAAATTGACTCGAAACATCGACCATCTTTACCAGGATGCCTCGTTAACCTCGATAGCAACATCCTGATATTGAGCAAGTAGATCCTCATACACGTGTGATGACAGCAGTTTCACGAACATTCGGTAGTTTCCATTTAAGGCTACACCGTAAAGGTCGCAATCCTCAATTCCATATGTCTCTCGAATAATCAGAGGCAACAACGTCAACGCCGAATCTTGATTAATTGTACCTCTCAGTAATTCTATGCCGACAGTGTTAATTCTGCGTCTCACCCCAACCACCATTGTGACAGCCTGGCTAGCACTTGCGCCTGTCAGAGAGGAGTAGCAAAAACGTCCACCCTCACCGGCAGCTGGGCGAGGAGAAGATTATTGATTAGTGATTCCTTGTTGCCAAGAACCAAATCAAGCAGGTTGTTTCCTCTAGCTGGTTCTTTCACAAACTGTTTTGAAAAACTAATCCTGGATCGTATTAAGAAATTAGTTAGATTCAAGATTTCCTATCAAATTATTCCAATCAATTTGTCGAAAGTTAAAATCTCCTATTAATACAACACTTTTGTATCTAGATGCCTTATGAATTTCGTCCCATAAAAGTTTACTGCGTTACCTATCAAGGTTGGGGGGCCTTAAATCACACCCAAAATTAGGTTTTCACTACCCTTCGAGAAACTGTAACCAAACAGATTCAGTGTCCGATGCTCCTAATTTTATATCTTGTCTAATGGAATAGTTAACATTAGTTATTAAATAAATCTTCACTATACCACCATTCCTATTATCACTGTGTGATAATATGTGGCATTCTGAAGGAATTTTTCTATCTTTCAGGCGGAACCAGGTATTTATTATAACAATAATATCTATGCTATCTGCACATGCAATTAATCTTAGCTCATTTATCTTATTTCTTACACTCCTACTAATATTTAACTGCAGTTGAAACTTATGCCTCCTTTTGCACTAATTTGCTCTTGTACATTGATATACATAGGCCTGGGATTATTCAGTACAGGGATATGTTTCTCGGATGGCGAAGCAACCGAAATATGTATCGTTTGTATTGTTCTTGTCTAAATACGAGCTTGCAATGCCAGTTACATCAGTTCCGTCTCTACCAGAGTGTATGTACCCCATAATCTCAGTTCAAACACATATTTATATATGTGTGTGAACTGAGAAAAATTGCAGTTTGTCAGGTAAACAACTTCTTTAGAAAATAAGTGCAGCTAATACTTCGTCTGACTTAATTAAGTCTGAGCATGAGCTACATTACCAGTGATATATGCTTAGTCTCGACCAGAGAAAACGGAACACACCTTCATTGCTCAGTTAATTAACCTACAGCACCTCATCTCTCCCATGTCTTCAGCATCAGTACCTACCACCAAAAGAAAAAGTAAGTTTATTCAGATATATACAAATACAGTTACATAGACTATCATACATAGCAGCATGTGTGTAGAGAATCTAGGATAGCCCAAAAAAGTGATTGGAAAGAAGCGGTGCGTTCCACGTGGTAAGACCGTGTATTAGAATTCGTCGTATGTATAATCCATCTGTTGCTATTATTACTGCTGTTGCTGCTTTGGCAGACACTTACAGGATTGTAGCAACTACAGCAGCTTACACTAATACTCGATACATTGTCTGCATCGCTCTTGGGCTGTGTAGATCCCCTTGCCTGACGCTCCTCAGTAACCTGACAGCAGTGGTACGAGGAGGTGTTGTTGTGTCTCTTTTGACACAGCTGGGAAATTACTGGTGTTAAGATGGCGGTTTGTCATCGCAGACGTGTTAATACTATTGGTATTGAACTACTTCGAGGTGCGATTACACCTAGTTCAGCTCAAATACTCTTACCCAAGATAATCAGGGAGACATACGGCATACAAGATGGTGAATTGTATGGGGTAGCGCTGAACGGAGCGCATAGAGTATTTGTGAAACTGCTTGCGGCGACAGTTTATGAATCGGTGGTTAGGCGCTTTCAAGATGTGTGTTTTGACGTTACGCCTGCTGTGCGTGTGACTGGTGGACGTGTCTCGATATTATACTTGGATAAAGTTGCGGAATGTCCCCTTCGAGGCGAACGAAGCTGACATCAGAAACGTATTTGAGAAATATGGAACTGTGCACTCTGCCCAGCAGGGTAAGTGGATAATGGGTGCCTACGCAGGTATGCCGGAAGGTACATTCAGCCTTAAGAGGACGTTGCGTCAACCCATACCGTCATATGTGTATCTTCAAGATTTTAGGACACAGGTAATGGTTTTATATCCTGGACAGCGGCGTACGTGTCGCATTTGTGGAGAGTATGACCACATAGCGGCGGCATGCGAAAAGAACAGACGCGTGACCAAACCTGTGCAAGAAGAAGTAGCCCCAGTCACACGTGATGGTGAGCATCGTTCGTCAGAGGAAGGGCGTGGTCGTTTGTGGAGTGAGATGGTGGAACAGGCTTTTCGAAATGAGAGTGAGTCCTCCCCTCAGCTCCCTGCATCTGAGTCGTTGCCGATACCATCTGCTGGATTGGTACCCCGGCATGACGTGTTGAGTATAGGTGAGGATTTAGACGAAGTTTTAAGGACCTTGTCACCGCAAGTGGTGGAAGCTCCGTCTCCGGAAGACGTAGCTGGAGACTTTCTGAGACCGGATTGTCAACAATATGAGACTCGGCAGAAGGACGACGAGACTGGGACATCGGGAGACTTCATACCTCATTGTGAGGTGGATGTTGAGGTACACCATGAGGCTTCCTCGGATCTTGACATGGAGGATAAGAACGTTACGAGGAAACGGGCAGCTACGTCAGATTCGGATGACGTACTGACGCCGGCACAGAGGACTGGAAAAAAAACTGAGAGGATGGGTGAGGGGAGGGGGGGGTCATGAGGGACGCCATCGCAAGAAGGGAGGCGAATGGGAAGGTACTGTAAAGAAGACACATAGACGTAACAAATCAAGTGGTGAACCACGAGAGGAGAAGAGGAAAGGGTGGAAAATATAACAGGCCTTAGGTGTATGACTGCTAATGTTAACGGTTTATGTACTAGACTAAAGAGAGATTGGTTGAGCAGTTTTCTTAGCAAACATAGAATTGATGTTCTGTTCCTTCAAGAACACAATTTCAAAGAAGGAGAAGTGTTGCAGGTTGCAGGTTATACAGTACTGACCCTGCCAACTATCCGTTTGAAAGGTGGTGTGGGTCTTTTAATAAAAGAGACGAGCCCGTTTGTGTTAGAGATGTGAGGGGGGTGGGGGGAGGGTGTTGCGAGTGGATGGGACTTGGATGGGAAAGCGTGTATCTTTGGTATGTGTCTATGCCCCTGCGGAGAATGACACGAAGGTTCGACGGATTTTGTGTGTGAGGACCTTGTTTATTTTTTGCGTGGTCTTCCGGAAGTAGCGATAGTGGGGGGTGACTGGAACTGTGACATAAGGGCGGCTGACGTCGAACCCAAAGGGGCTGGGCATGTGTGTGCACCTTTCAGAGATTTGTTGAGGGATGTTAAGTTACGAGATGTGTTTGGGGGAGTGGTTGGGAAACAGAACATACTTTCATCAGAAGGGGATATGCTGCAAGGTTAGAGTGAATATTTTGCAGGGAGTAGTTGTAAAGTCTTTTAATACGGTGGAGACGGTCTTGTCAGATCACAGGGCAGTTGTAGTGGAGGTAGGGTGGGAGGGGATGGCGGAAATTTATAAAATTATTGGAAATTAAATATAAGTCGTGTTAAGTGATGTGGAAGGGTTAGAGGATTAGAGGGGTTTTTTCTATGCTACTGGAATGAGCTTTCAAGGGAAGCCTCAGGAAGTGGTGGAAGACATTGTAACGTGGTGGGCTCGGTGGCAAAGGAAAGGATAAATCCTTTTACGTGAGGGAGGGTAGAGCGTTATAAACACTTTAAAATATGGCTAGCGAATTATTAGAGGATCGATTACGAGTTATGGGCTGGGATCGGTTGGTGGTGTTTTACCCATGGACGAGATTGGAGACATAAAGAGTGCTTGCGAACGTTGCATAATGGCAAGTTTCACGCGGTGGCGTGTGTGTTGAGACAACAAAGCAAAAGCCAGGAGCTGACGGGCAATCCGAGCTTGGAGGTAAGTGTAAATGAGACGATGGAATCAATAGAGCAGGTCAAGGATACGAAACACAAAAGCTATGAGTGCATATGTGGATACGTGTATATTAAAAAACATGGACTAGTAGTAGCTTGGATGAAGTGGGAATTATGTAAGGGTGTTGCACTTATGCTAAGTGCATTTTGGGTCACAGTGATAGGAAGTGCTTTGGGTGGGGGTTATTATGAGGAGGAAATTTAATTGCTTTACACGGAATGAGGAGGGCAAGGGCAAGGCCCCGCGTATTGATGGTTTACCGGTGAATTTTATTTGCAGCATTGGGAGTGATTGGCGAAGTTCATGGTAAGATATTAAATTGAATGAAGGAGAAGGAGTACGTTAGGGGGATAAGAGATACTGGAAGTTTCTTCCCCCTATAATCCTCTGGTGTTGGTCCCGAAAGGCAATGGGCAGGCCAAAACTTGGGAAGTATTAGGGCGTATCGTGCTCTGTGCTGCAGGAATTTAAGGTTTTCGCAAAAATTTTGGGACTAGCGGTTATGTAAAATGCGTGGTGGGGAGGGTCGTTTCGCATCGCTGTATGGGTTGCCGGGGCAGGCGATATTAGAGGTCACGGGACTCATAAGAAGTTTTGTGGAGGAGTCAAAGGGGGGGAGGGGAGGGGGCGGCTTATGTGAGCCTTGGACTGGCGCGGCCGCCTATGATAGTGAATGGAAAGGGGTGCACTGCAGAGTATTCTTCGGAGACAGGGTTATGGAGAAGAAATAGTTGGGGTGGGTAAACACGCTGTATAAGGTGAGGCAAAGATGAGGGTAATAAATGGGTGTATGGGGACGGACTTTGAGATGGGTAGAGGTTTAGACAAGGGTGCCTATGTACCACAGATTTATTGCGGGTTTTCAGGATCTCCCTTTTACAGGAGGGGTTGAGAGCACAGTTTGTTTCCCGGGGTGGGGTTAAGGGAGGGGATTGTTGGCCTGCATTAATAGGTTATGTGGATGATACGCACGTTTGGTGTGTGAACGACATGTCTTGAATGGTTGGAAGATGTTGTGGTTTGTGTTTGAACGTATGCCACGGGTTTAGAAGGTAATAGTATAAAAGTCGATGATCATGGCGATTGGGTACATGGAAAGGGGGTGATGGTGAGCTGTAACAACGTGGTTAACACAACTGAGCAATGTCATTAAAGATTTGCGGTACTTATTTATTAGAGAACGTTTGGATGTGGCGCGGGAGGAAAATTTCAGTAAGGGACGTTGAAAAGGTCCTTGGTCGTCTGGGTGTTTTGACTGGCCCCAACATTCTCATCTGGACCCACTCGTGTGATCGTTGTTAACGTGTTATTGTATAGTTAGGTGTGGCACGTATTCCCAATCTACAGGACAGCGATCAATGGAATATTGAGAAGAGTATTTAACCTTTATGTGGGGATCGAGGTGTGATTGGTAAAACGTGGGTTGTTATGATAACTGTTCGTCGAGGAGGTTTGGATTGTTGGAATTAAAGCGTAGGGTGCTCTAGCATGTGTTTTTATAAAGTGGGAGGTTTTGGCGTGTGGTGTGATGCGGGAAATATGGACCAAGTATATACGAGGGTGAAAAAGTGGTATAGGGGAATTGGATTTAAGGGGAATGTTGAGATTGTACTACGAGTTGTTTGATGGTAACAGGAACGGAAGGAACATGCATAAGGGTTTTATTATAAATAGAGTTACTAGGGGGTTATGTGCGCAGCTACAGAAGATTATGTTACCCCTTTAACACGATCGGAGAGTGTCAGATGTGTATGGCTCGATTTAGTAATGTTGAAATTACTGCCTTGGTGCTTCCTTCATGTCTCTCACGTTTTTTACATGGTATATATCCTACCTATTCAACACACCTCACCTCCTCTACTATTCTTCCTTCTTTATTTTTTATATTTTTATTTTAATACACTTCAAAACAATATACACCCTATTCCCGCCACTCTAAAAACTAACACTAATACCCTGCGCTCGCTCTCGAGCACGCGCGCCTCTGCCCTCGCACATTACCTATTTCCCAACTTCTTTCTATTCTTTCCTTACCATCTTTCGTTCCTTCATCCAACTTTTTAAAATCACCAGTTACGTAAATCATTCTTAGATAATGTAATCTTGTTGGATTACATTTATATACTAGGGCTAATGCGGTTGAAAGGTTGTCAGTGATCGTGGAAGGCGTATTCCTTAGCAATCACGTTTTAATGTACAATGTTTTACAGTAGAAAGGGAATTGTATGGGAGGATGTGGGCACTGAGGCGTTTTTCGGGGCGGTTATCATAAAGGCCTCACTATTGAAACCCTTGTGAATCTGTGATAAAAATACGAGGCCAATCTGAAAAAGGTCGTGTAGTTCAGTGGGCAATAGCTGGCTCGTTCTTGGGGGTGGGGGGGGAAGTGCAGTTGCGTGAATATGAGTATGGACATGAATGTTTTTTAGTTTTTATGGATGTGTGGTAGTAGATTCAGGGCGTTAGAGCGCGCTGATCCCCTTATTGTACCTTTTTTTGTACAAAATGACTGGGCCCGCGCTCCTTTACATATTTAGCGAGTTTTGATCTTTCTTTGTGCCTAAAGGACTCGTGTATTCTTTAGTCACTGTTTTCTTAGTTTTGTACTCTCTTATTGTTCTATGGAGGTCCAGATTTCTCCCCCCTTCCCGGCCTTCGTCGTAAACACGGCATAATATATATATATATATATATCTATATATATATATATATATATATATATCCCCGCATATATACACTATATATTATTTATATATATATATATATATATATTATATATATATGCATGTTTTATCCTTTCCTGTTACTGTTTCACGTTAGTCTGTGAGTCACCAAGTATTAAAGGGACTTAATATGTGTACAATTACCCTGAGTCGTTCCAGTTGTTTCCTATAAATATTAGCAACATTATGATTTTTGTTTGTGATTCTAACGTAGTTCGATAGGTATCATTTGGATGAACAAATATAGAATGGATGGAAATTGTGGACGATTATATGATGTCAATTTATATAATATTTATTATATTAATGAATTTGTGTTAGAGTAAAATCATTGAATTGTGTCTAAGTTGGAATTTCTATAACAATTGTATATTTTTGTATGCAAATTACTCATAAAACTATTGTTTATCATCAATTGTAAACATGCTGGTAGATGTGCATGTAGGTTTAATGGGTTAGTGGGGTTTCCACCAGTGTTATATTTGTTACGCAAACAGTTATATCTTTTGGTATAGTGTGTGTTTAGTGAAACGTACGTATGCATTTTATGGTGTGTTTGTCGTATATATCTATACGTATAAGTCACAAAGTTTTTTTTTTTCTGGGTATTTATGGTGGGTATTTGTTGTTATCTATAGTTAATGTATTGGTGATTGCTATTTTAATTTTAAGCAGCCTTGTATTTATGATGTTTTAAATAAAATATAAAAAAAAAAATACTCGATACAACTTATGCTACTCTGTTACCATTTTTTTTTAGCCGAAAATTACAAATAAACTCAAAATATAAACATCTAGAGAATGGGTTCATTAAGAGAAGTGCGTTAATTCGATGATGAATCCTGAGCAGCATCTTACTATAGGTTTTATATATAAAAATTTTATCAATGATAACAAAGGTGGGAAATTGAAGACTATGGTGTCCAGGATTCTTTCGGGCGGATGTAAACTTTGTGAAGGTTTGTGATCCGCAATTATTAGGAGGACGGGTTGAACATTGACAGCCTTTTATAAAAAAAAGTATGCAGGAATTGCTGCATTTGGTAATTGTAATTTTTAAGAGGTAGTGATGCCTGTCAACAATACGTAGTTTTTACTTGTAACGAGTGTGGAGCTGAATAGCGGAATCCAATTGTACCTAACTGTCCATCATGGAAAGAAACAATAAGAGTCTCCTCTTGAAAAACATGATAGGATGCCTTATGTAACTCTAATTATGGGCTATTACAAACTCGATAGTTATTTATGGAGTCTGTTGTGTCTTAAACAAAACATGTTAGACCAAAAGCGCTGGATTGCTCCTTATGCCAGGGGGGTTTAATGATGTTTCGGTTATATTCGAACAGGTGTCATGCAAACTGAACATCATGGTACGCTTGTCGTTTAGTCTGTCCTGAACGTCGTTATTTTTAGGTCTGCCTTCGGCATAATTGAGGTCGTAATGCGTCTTGGTACAGTGTTACCTGGAGGTTACCTTGAGTTTATTCCGGGGATCAACGCCCCCGCGGCCCGGTCCATGACCAGGCCTCCCGATGGGTCAGGCCTGATCAACTAGGCTGTTACTGCTGGCCGCACGCAGTCCAACGTACGAGCCACAGCCCGGCTGATCCGGCACTGACTTTAGGTATCTGTCTAGCTCTCTCTTGAAGGCAGCCAGGGGCTTTATGGCAATTCCCTAATGCTTGATGGGAGGCTGTTGAACAGTTTTGGGCCCCGGACACTTATGGTGTTTTCCCTTAGTGTACCAATGGCGCCCCTACTTTTTTGGGGGGCATTTTTTCATCGCCTGCCCAGTCTTTTACTTTCGTAGGGAGTGATTTCTGTGTGCAGATTTGGGACCATTCCTTCCAAGATTTTCCAAGTGTAGATTATGATATAATCTCTCCCTCCTGCGTTCCAACGAGTACAAGTCAAGTGCTTCCAAGCGTTCCCAGTAGTTAAGGTGCTTGACAAAACTTATACGTGCAGTAAAGGATCTCTGTATACTCTCTAGATCTGCGATTTCACCTGCTTTGAATGGAGATGTTAATGTACAGCAGTATTCCAGCCTAGAGAGAACAAGTGATTTAAAAAGGATCATCATTGGCTTGGCATCTCTCGTTTTGAAAGTTCTCATTATCCATCCTATCATTTTCTTTGCACGTGTGATCGTGGCACTGTTGTGATCCTTGAAAGTGAGATCCTCAGACATTACTACTCCCAGGTCCCTTACATTATTTTTCCGCTCTATTGTATGGCCGAGTCAGTAGTATACTCTTTTTCTAGTTATTATCTCCTCCAGTTTTTTCCATAACGGAGTAGTTGGAATTTGTATACATAGGTAGTTGCAACATGATGATTGCAACTAGTTTAGTGGTTTAAATGAATCATGTTGGTAATATTATAGTGATGATATTTGCGGATGATAGTTGATAATAATGAATAGTTTATGGCATTAAAATTAAGAATAGCCTAGTTATGATGATGATGATAATGATAGCGGATAATAATGGCAGAAATGACATTACTATTAAGAATAGCCTAGTTATTATGAGAAAGGAAGCCTGAATAGGAAAATTAAACACAGGCATATTAACTGACATCATGGTACGCCCGTCGTTTTGGCGCAAAATGTTGATATTGAATATGTTAGGTCCGTCGGTATAACTATTGAGGCCTAACCCGTCTAGGTACAGGGGTACAAGGTAACACATAGATGGTTGTAACATGGTGATTACAACTAGTTTAGTGGTTTAATGAATCAGGTTGTTGGTAATATTGAAAATGATGATAATAATGATATTAGCGGATAATATTGATAATAATGATAGGAATGACATTAAAAATTATGAATAGCCATTTATGACGATGCAATAATGATATTTGCGGATAATAATGATAAGAATGGCATTGAATCAAGTTGTTAATATAATGATATTAACTGATGATAGGTGATAATAATGATAGGAATGGCATTCAAATTAAGAACAGCCTAGTTATTATGAGAAAGGAAGTCTGAAAAAGAAAATTCACACAGGCATATTAACTTTACACTGCGAGTATTTCCTGAATGTTCTGGAAGGTGCTGCGACACCATTGACAAGTGAGGTATTTTTTTCCCTTTATTTCATTTTGTTAGAAGGTTATAAATGAAGATATGTAATTATCCAATATTGCAACTTTCTACGGCACATTACCTGTTTCCCGGCGGTTAGAAGCTTAGTGCGGGCTATTAACTATCTTCTAATATTTCCTCATGCTATCTGCGAGGCCTACCCCACCCGACCCCATACGGGGAGTGCGGCGGGGGTACCGTGTGTGGGTTGGCATCCCGCTTTGCCTTCCGCAGAGAGTTTGAGACTGGCCGGTGCCTCCGCACTATCAATCTCTGAAAACTTACTCTACTCCTTCTGTTGCTGTCTTTGCAACATTGCACAGGTCCTGGTGACGCACTGAGAAGTGTGAACGTACTTGAGCTTAAGATTTCCACCCCCACCCCCGTGGTTTCTCTTGCATATTTGTAAAACGCAATAAGATCACAGTAAACAGGTGATATCACGAAAGCACTTGGAATTTCACTATTTTTTCACAGTGGTTGTTCTGCATATATATGTAATGTATCACATACAGCAAACATTTCTGATGTAATACAGTGTTTACTTTTGAAGAAGCAACTGGTAACATTTTAGTGCACTCTGCTGAAGACCAATACTGTTTTTAGCCCGGTGTTCATCAAAATAACAAAATGTACTAAAAATGGCCCAATCTTCAGATAAAAAGCCAAAAATCAAGATGGGCGATGAGGTTGGAGACGCAGGCCGGAAGCCCCGTATCCTGAGTGGGAGGTTTCCACACCTCTCCCACCTATACCTGACACTAAATACGCTGCTCACGTTTTGAAGATAATTGCAAAATACGGCGATGCTGTAGGAATGGTGAGTTATTTAAGAAAAACGTACATTAATCTATCATTTGATATTCTTGATCTTTTGCCTGATAATTTTTAATGAACTGAAAGCTGTATTTCACAGAGCAGGATTACCGTGGCTGTGTTGACACTATTTTTCTCATGAAGTAGACTTGTTATATGAAAAGTCAAAGAGCTTTATGTTATGGTTATCATTAATATGGCGAAGGTGAATCATTCACGAGAATGTTGTATTTATCCAAAATAAGCAGCTTTGTGAATCATTGTTAAGTTCCAGATAGAACTCATGTTGCAATAAAAATGTTGAAACTTAGAGATTCCCTGAAGTGATGCTGCTCTTCACTCAGAGGGACTATGACTGAGGAGAGGCCTTAACATGCAGGCTGAAATTTACATAGAGTTAAAAGCTAGCTATATTATATTTTTTTTTCAAAAGCGGATGTAAATTTGCAATGACTTTCAAATATAAAGTGTGATTAACAGTGGTTAATGGCACAAACGAGAAATAAACAGAAGTGGTTAATTTATTTTGGCTTACTGAGGCCTTCTTCAGTGGTATTCTAGGGTGATCTCTACAGTGCTTTTATCTTCTACTTTTAACTGTCTCCAATTGTTTTCGTTTACATAATTATTTTGATTTTTTTCAGGTAAACGCAGAGACTCAAGAACAGCGGACGTTCTCTGAATTGTGTGATCTTGTGCCACGGGTGTCTGCAGGTCTCAACGCCGCTGGGGCCACACTGCGTCATGCCGTCCTCTACCTGGCCCCCAAACCATGTAGACTTCCCACTGGTGGTGCTATCCGTCCTGTAACCGCGGCGCTGTCTTCGTTCCTGCCAGCCCTTCCCTCAGTACAGGTAAATCTTTTGACAAGAATTGGTTGCGTTCCTTTGCTGTTTACAATATATGCGAGACAATTACACGCCCGCCCTCTTAATAACAGTATTTGACTATTTCTCCGACAGCCAAATGAGTGACTGACTCACGAAATCGTAATGACACGATTGCAAACAAACCATAACAGGTGGGGATAGAACCTGCGATCAGAGAGTAGCGCGTCGGTCTGGAGTTTTATGACTCTCTGATCGCGGGTTGTATCCGTGGAATGGTTTAAATGAATCACTGCTTACTGAGCTTTAAAGCAAATTTTTCTGTGGGCTTCAAAAATTTTTAATGTTTTTTATCTTGTGTTTCATCTCTTGGCATTGTTGCTTGTAATAATTTGTTATTTTTTGTAGAGAGAGAATAATCTAGCCTAACTAATCTAACTAAACTTAACGTAAGCATACCGTATACAAGAAATCCATACATATTTTGCAATAACAGGTTCTTTAAACAATACCCCGCGGAGACCAAGCTTCATACAAACGAAAATTGCCCCTATAGAGTCTGCCTCGCCTCGATGATAACAGTTAGTCTCGTCCTGTACAGTTCCTTCCTCGTTGCTTATAATAAGCAAAGACTTTCATAATAGGCACAGATTACCCCATGTTAGGCAGAATCTCCATTAAGATCACTTTAGCTTGTACTCAGCGATGTGAGAAGCATTTTTTAACACATAAAGGGAGTCGTTATTTATAATTTTTTAAATAGTCCGAATTTAAAGTGAAGTGTATATATATATATATATATATATATAATATTTATATATATATATTATAATATATATATATATATATATATATATATTATATATATATTTATATATATATATATGAAATTGATGCTCTCGGAGCTTCATGGTGATAGTCCTGAAAATAAAAAAAAACATAAAAATAAAACATTTTATTTTGATAGTGTAAGTGCAAGTTTTCGGGAAAATGGAGATAGGAAAATTGTTGCAGGTGAGTGTTTATGGTTTATGGTTTAATTGAATTTTCTGTGATCATGAAAGTTTGAAAATACTATATTGGTGTTTAAAAAAAAACTGAAAACGTTAAAAACAAAATTTTGCCATGAAGTTAAATTTTTAATGGAAATAACATCATAGAATTGAAGAAGAATGCCTTTGTAAATAGTCAGTAATAATATTGACGATTGTCTCATATTTACTGAAGCTTTTCCTGTAAAGTTTCTAAAAAAAATTACTTTGATCTAATCGTAGAGAAGAAAATATATCATGTGTCTTCATAACGTTCAAGTTTGTTATCTAACAACCAATGTCGCCTCAGGTACTGGTATCTAGACATTTAAGTGGATGTGAATGTGATTTTTACGTTGCCTGTAATAAAATTTTCTTTGCACCAAGAGTCTTCCATTGTTGTCAGTAATACTTGCCGTACAACACAACCTCTTTTGTCAGAATGCATGTCACGTGTAATATTACGTACCCAATCTGCAATAATGTATATGTTATGTGCAACTTGGAAAAGTATCGTATATGGGGTCTATGAAACCAAAATAAATCATTTAGTAATCTTGTATGAAAGTATATGTACTCTTTTGTCGATAAAACTAATTTTATTATTTTCATACAGAATCGCTCAACCCGTAAAGAATCATAGAGGTTTCGTGGGTAAAAGGTACCTGGTTCGTGAATATTTATAGCTGGGGAGAGACAATATACCGCGTATGCGACAACGTCCTTTTATCCTGCTTGGTCTCTAGGCACCTTATATATTATGTCATTATAGATGCTAAAATACTTCTTGTGTAGTTGCAATTCAAACACTGTAGTGATTCTTCATCTAATAAATTAATAATAATAAACAGAATCAATTAACTTTCTTGACGCATGAAATCTGATTTTTAATTTAACAAGGAAGATTTTTGCAGTATTAAAATATAATGGCAAAATAATGTTTAGGTTTCTCAGTTGCCGAGGTAATAATGTATTTCTAGATATTTTTTAGAGATTTCGAATAGATAAAGCAACTAAAATGCACAGAGAATGTTTAAATCGTAAGCTTTATTTCAGCACTTTCTGAAGGGAAACTGTAAATTAGAATACATAAAATAGGTGTTCCCTTGAGGTAATGAATCACCAAATTTTAAAACGAATTTATTCTTTGGTGATACTTGTCATATTATCACATATTCTTAAGAAGAAATTTGGTTTATCCAACAAAAAGAACAAGAGTAATAATGTTTGATACATGTAAGAGATTTAGGTTTACAATGCATTTAAATTAATAATCCAATTTTGCATCATTAGCGTTTTCTCTCTGATGGCAGATAATGTATATAAACCGACCTTTTTTAAATTGGTCAGTGTAGCTAACACGACTTGGACTTCCAGGCAGGCCAGTTTCGTTGCCTCCTAAGAACTAATTAGGGTATTTGAACACGAATAATCTCATCAAGTAGTTAGTATGAAAAATATAATAAGGATCTTAACCAAATATGTTGTGAAATGAAGAAGGTTGAGAACAACACTACAGGATACTTGTCTTCAAACTCTTAGTCGGGCCAATTCCTTATTTGATGACTACCGTGAAAATAAGAGTTTTAAACAGAATTCAGGCCAAAAATCAAGGTTATGCATACCTTCAAGTTTGTAATTCTCGTGATAACATTTATTCAATCATTTCAAATGCAATTTACTTCGTTCTTTTAAAGAATAATTACAAATTAAGCAACCCCCTTAATAAAACCTTTCTTAAGCAAAGAAAATGTGCACATTCTTCTTCGTATTTAGTGACTTATATCATCTTGTACTAATTGAAAAGACGAGTTGGTCTGTGTGATGAAAGTGAGTGGTGTTCGCTGGGCTGTGGGTGACATCACTGTGGTGGCCAAGCTGGAGGCTGCCATCTCCCACCTGCCTTCCGGCACCATTAGGAAGATGTGGGTCTTGGGAGACGTACCTGGAAGATCCAACCTTTATGATCTGGTGCATTTTCACCCATTACCGCCAATCACTAAGGTAAGAAATCAACAGTAGGACGTAAAGCTCGTCAGATCCCTGACATAACGTATTACGAACCTAAATGATAAACGACCAGATACATAAGTGATAACTCACCACATTCATGACTAATAACTCATTCTGTATGTGACTGATAATTTGTCATATTCTTGACTGATAACTTGTAATTTGCATGCCTTATAGCTCATTAAATGCACGAAAGATAAAACCCCTCGTATGCATAATTGATAACCTATCGCATGTATGACTGATTGCATACATTTATTCTTCTGAATGTACCAAATGTGACTGAGAAAACTTGCGAAGGAAAGTAGATAGATGACCACTTAACCATTAAGCAAATTTTTCGAAAATGAACCACTACTGGAGCGGACTGGTCTCAATATTCACCCTGCAGTGAGTCTTGAGTAACCCATAAAAATAAGGAGACTTGCATTGGTTGTTTTGAACTGAAGTAGAATGTCATTGTTCTTTTTCGTTATTTCCAATGGCTGGTACTTCTTTGTAGGATAATGACATTCTACTTTAGTTCAAAACAACCGATCCAAGTCTCTCTTTTATGGGTTACCAGAGATCCATTGAGACCCATCTCCAGTAGAGGGTCATTTTCGTACAAATTAGCTAAATGTTTAATTATCTGGTGTTCTATCTCCTTTCCTCGGCAAGTTTTTTTTCCCATTGAGAAAGCAAAAAAAAAAATATCGACCTGCAGAATGAAAATGTTAAATATGGATGTGGACTCCTTGTTCATTAGGATTTCTGTCGATGATATCCTAATTTTCTCGCCGCACATCGCTACCACATCAAAAGGAGTTCACAATTTCCATCCAAAAATCTTAGCCCTTACCAATACAAATGTTTCCTTTCAGCAATGAATTCTGCAAACAAACTTGGTTGCGGTATAGAAAGCCCATCTCTCCCGTACTTACTAATCTATACCGGGAATACTATGAAACTACAGGGCTTCCCAGGATCAAACCACAGACTTTTTC